TCTTCTTCTTCTTCTTCTTCTTCTTCTTCTTCTTCTTCTTCTTCTTCCTCCTCCTCCTCCTCCTCCTCCTCCATCTGTTGTAGTGTTTGTTGATAGTTAACAAGCGCCATTTCTAAAAAAAGGAAGGCTTCTTTCACACCATCTTTGCCATCTGTTTTTGTTTGCTCATATTCTTTTCTCAGTTCCTCAGCAAAAAAAAGCCATTATAAATCTTTTCTTTTCTCTTTTTTTTCCCCCTCTTTCTTCTTGCACCAACCAAGATATTTCAAAAAAATAGAACAATCCCAAAGTCCTCAATCAATCCAAGCCAAGACAAAGTTCTCACTTTCTCTTCCTAGGGTAGTATCAATAAAAAAAAAAAAGAAAGTCCAAATCTGTATCTTAAAGCCTTATTGGAATTATATTTCAGTCTTCAAATCCTTAAGGCATCTCCTCCAACAAAATCTTAACATATAAATATATTTTTTGTCCTCTCCCTTCCCACTTATCACATAAAGCTAGTTTTTACCTGAAAAAGACAGGTTTCTCAATATCCACTTATTGATTCCGTAGGGAAGGAGAGTAAACTTTCCTTTCAGCACCTCAAAATTGCCGCTTATTTTCTCTTGTGGAAAGAATCATTCAAAAAGCCATAATTTCCAGGAATTGTGTTAAATGTGTCTTAGAGTCCTGGGTCAACCAAGAAAACTTTCACTCTCATAGGCTTTCTCCTCTTCCTCCTGCGCATTCTTACCCGGCTGCCGGCTTCTTTGTGGCGGCCATTACAGACCGCCGCTGCACCGTCTTGGGAAAAGGGGGTTCTGCCGGCCGGGGAGAGGGTCTGCAACACCCCCAAACCCCTCTCCGGATCCCCCCTATCTTCAGCTACCCCTGCAGGGTAGCCTTAGCTCCGAACCCGTCCGGATCGGAGCACCAAAAACGGCTAGCGCAGCAGGGATCGCGCAGTGAACTTCCGGTTTGTCGGCTTCGCGAACGGCAGGAATATTGCAATAGTCTTAATTAATATTAAGAACCTAGAGAAAGATGAACTGGAATAAATCAAAAACCTAAGTTCTATTGTCAATTAAATGTCTGCAGGAAGATACAAGAAAGAAGGAGGAGAATAATGGTTCTTCCCATGTTTCTAACCACTGACAACTGAGAGGCATAGGGCCTCACATATTGGAGTAGAAGTACAAAATTTCTGCCGTAGAAAGAGACTGGTCAAAGATGTCTCTCTTTAGGAAACAGGTTGAAGAGACAATTCAGATATTAGATTACATTCCATCCACTGAAGAACAACCATTTTCACAGTGTTCTGTGTTTTTTTCATAGAAATATAGCGATCAGCAGGCCAGTATCCCTAGCAAATCTGTGGAACAGCAAAATCTGAAGTCAAACTGTGACAGCACATGGGAACCCGGGAAGAGTGATGAGGAGAAGGCTGAATCTGATAATACTGTCATGTCAACAGACCTGGTATGACTTGGTCAGGCTTGAAGCCTTTTTAAGTCTGGATCAGTAAGTCTCTCCCCCAGTACAAATTGCTGGTGGAAATGATTTAGAGTTTTCAATCAATTAAAGAGAACTTTAATGAATTTAATGAGTCAAAGTTCTTTGATTAGGTCCAGAGATCTTTGGATGTTTTCTATAATACAGTAATGCCCAATTCTCCCTGTTAACACAGTTGTAGGAATTATAGTCCAAAACACACTCTCTCTCTCTCTCTCTCAGCAATCTTTCACTATGAAGCCTGAATTGTGTGCCATGAACAAGCACATTCACACTAACACACAATGTCACATATGCAATGCATTGATTGTGAATGTCTTTTTATTTGGCTGTAAAGCACACCCATCAATAAATGCAATGATTAAACTTGTAGCTCTAGGATTTACATACTACTCCACATCAAAATTTCCAAGAGTTTTAAGAAACATTTCACCACTTCCCAAGTAAACTATTCTTTTAATCAGATGTTTCACACTCTGTAAGCCTCCGTTCCCTTTTCAGCATGATTCTTCTTCAATATATAAAAATGTATCTGTCTTCTTTCCTAATTCTGGATTATGTGTGCCCTTAACGTTCGTACACACACACACACACATACACAAGAATTTTTTCAATCCTGATCTGTATCTTCACATGATTTTCCACAAACCAAATATTCTAGAGCTGGTCCTTCATTTTAGAACCCCAGTTGGGACCAGAATTTCCATTGCTATGCTAGGTGGTTGTTTTAAGTGAGTTGTGCCCAGTTTTATGACCTTTTTTGCCATGGTTGTTAAGAGAATCACATAATCATTCATCAAAATCTGGCTTCCTTCTTTGACTTGACTTGTCAGGAGCTGGCTGGGAAGATTATAAATGGCAATTGTAATTTTAAGAACTTGCCAGTTGCCAAGTGCCTGATTTTTTATCACGTGACTGGGGTTGCTGTGATAGTCATAAGTGTGAGGACCAGTCATGAGTCACTTTTTTTTTCAATGCTTCTATCACTTCAAATGGTTTCTAAGCTAATGGTAGTAAATTGAGGGCTCTCTGTACTCTTAATCCCAGTCTCTTCTATGTTACCCCACCTGAACTCTCCTCACAATTATTTTCTTCTTCTTCAGGGAAACACTGTTGCTATCCAGGAGGAAAATTTCGTCAATAGCCTACAGGATTCAGCCTGTCTGTTGGCAAAGGCCCAAGCATCCTTAGAAAATCTGGAGAAACGTTTTGCTTCTGGCATCCATATGTTGGAGTCATTTGTCAACCATCAAGGGGCACCAGGTCAAACTGGTCATAATGAGGGATCCGTATCTAAGCGGGTGGTGGTGGGTAAGTCTTAATACTGACAACTTATGTATTGTTTTCTGACTGAGGATGTTCTTTCTTGTGCACATTAAAAGTAAGAGCTTTGACCCTTTCCAGCTATTGTAGATATTTTATTCCTTGTAATCTGTGTGCCAGCATTACACAATCCCTCTGCATATTATTCAGCACTGAATTACTGAAACTGATACATGAATCTTGCATAGTCATATAAGCCAGGGGTCCCCAACCCTCGGGCTGCAGACCGATACCAGTCCACTGCCCATTAGAAACTGGGCTGCACAAGTGAATGAAGCTTCATCTGTGTGTGCACGTGTTTTAAGTAGCACACAAAATCATCCACCCCCCCAGTCCATGGAAAAATTATTTTCCACGGAACTGGTCCCTGGTGCCCAAAAGACTGGGGACCGCTGATACAAGCTTTTCGAAACATTTCAGGGTTTTTTTTTTACCGATTTCCAACTTCTGCAGGACTAATTTACTGTAGTATTTTTACATGTGTATGTTTTCAAATCCTGAGAAGTAAAACCTATTCCAACCTTCTGTTCCAGAGGGAGAAAATTGCTATATTTGACCAGTGCTAATGCGTACAAACACAATTGCAGTTGGCTGCGTGGTGAAAAGAAGATTATCTAGGGCCAAAAATCCAGGGGGGGGGGAATTTACAGCATTTTACCTCATTCCAAATCCGTATGTGCTTTTTTATATATTTTTATATATAAAATATATATATATTATTATATTTTTTCTAAGAATACAGACCAAAGACTCTTGGTGGTACACAATGCAATTAAAAAGCATAACACGCTCATTGTAAAATTATTAGAATATAAATATTAAATAAGAAATAAAAATAAATAACATTCTTTTTTTAAAAAAAAAAAAAGCCAGTTTAGAAGAGTTTCTTCTTAATCGGCTTCTGGAAGGCAATTGAGGTCAGAGCAAGTTTCAACTTTAATCGCAGAGACTAATCCTTAAAATGAGAGCCATGACGAAGAAATATGGCTTCCTGGTCTCAACCCAGCTATTAACCTCATGGAAGTGGAGGATTATAATTCCTTTGGTACCTATGTAGTAGATTTAGCCATACTATTTGGAGAAGATGGCCTTTTTCTTAGCTATTTTTTTTTTACTAGACTGCTACAATTGGGTACATGCGATGTAAAAATTCCTCCAATTATAGCATATTAATAAAAAATAGATGTGTCACAAAAAGTATATATTTTTAGAAAATCATAGAAACAATGGAAGATTTGCTGTGTAAGTGGAAATTTTTGGAAATTTTTGAAAAGGAATTTCAGAAGACTGATGGTATCAGTAGTGGGGAAATTGATCCCAACTGATAATTTTAGGAAACGGATATTCTTAATAATACTAGAACTTCTTCATGCGCACAGAATTATTAAAATGCATTTATTGCTGTTATATTCAAAACTTCAGATGGGTTTAAAAGAATGATGAAATTTATTATCCTCTATAGTGAGTAAAACAAGATCATTTCCAAAATCCAAAATCTTGGCCTTCAGGAAAACAACCAGTCAGAAAAAGTTGATTATAAGGGAGGATAAAGTTGAACAGGTTCATATCTATATATACCTTGGAGGAATTTTGGATGCCAAAGTGTCTCTGGAAAGCACATTTTGATTATGCCATTCTGGTAGTATTGCAATCTTCTGCCACTATATGAACATTAAACAAAGATTATCTGTATACAGTCCTTGCTTTATGACTGGTTGCTTAGCAACCATTCAAAGTTACAATGGACCTCCACAAAAAGGCATTTAAAAGCAGAATTTGTGGCTTCAACTGTCACTTTCCCTACCACCATTTTAGGCTCTCGGCAATTGGCCCATAATTATGGCCATTTGCGGCATCCTATAGTCAAATGATTTATGACTTTTGCTGGAAACCAGGTTTTACTTCCACTTTCTGACAAAAAAAAACCATTGTAGACAATCTTTAACAACCGTGGTGATTCGTTTAATGACTGCTGCAAAAAATGTTATAAAATCTTGTCAGTCTTAAGATGACCTGCTTAATAGCTGGTACGACTTCTGGGCTTAATTATGGTCATAAGTTGAGGACTACCTGTAACTAACACTCTTCAGGTTGCTATTAACCTCCATCTGTCTCCACTCAGAGAAGTGCAAAGGTAACATCCAGAACAACTCCCTTCAATACCTTATTGATTTATCATCTCAAGCCAGAAGAGAACAACAGGTAAACAAAGTAAAACAAAACAAAAGCTTCTTTTAGTATATTGTTTGGTGATACTAACCTCCTATAGTCTTGCCTGCAGCAAAATCCTGTCTCACCAGAGATTTTTCTGAGGTTGGAGAGTCACACAGAAAGGCCTTTTTGTAACACCGAGACGTAAGTAGCAGATGTCACAATCACATTTTCCTGCCTTGTAAAAAGTATTGGCTGCTTGGCTTTCAGATTATGTTATTCCGGGCTAGAGGACAGCTCTGGGTATGTTCAACTCTGGGTGTGTATATGTTCAACTCTGTTCAATTTCTGAAGGTTAAGTTACCTAGTCTTATGATACTAACAGAAATTGTGCTCAAAGAAATATGATGTCTCTAAATTCTGACAAGGAACAAAGAAAATAAAAATGTATGCATAAATAGAAATGGGACTATACAAGGACTGAATTTAAATAGAAGGCAGAGAGCTGATTTGTTGAATTCTGCTTGAAATCTGTTAGAAGTAGAAATTTAATAGAATGCTATTGTAATTCTCTTTCAACCTCAGCATTGTAAATGCATTGCTCAAAAAAATAAAGGGAACACAAAAATAAGACATCCTAGAGCTGAATGAATGAAATATTCTTATTAAATACTTTGTTCATTACATAGTTGAATGTGCTGACAACAAAATCACCCAAAAAGTATCAATGGAAATCAAATTTAGCAACCCATGGAGGTCTGGATTTGGAGTTACACTCAAAATTAAAGTGGAAAAAAACACTACAGGCTGATCCAACTTTGATATAATGTCCTTAAAACAAGTCAAAATGAGGCTCAGTAGTGTGTGTGGCCTCCACGTGCCTGTATGATCTCCGTACAATGCCTGGGCATGCTCCTGATGAGGTGGCGGATGGTCTGAGGGATCTCCTCCCACACCTGGACTAAAGCATCCCCCAACTCCTGGACAGTCTGTGGTGCAATGTGGCGTTGGTGGATGGAGTGAGACATGATGTCCCAGATGTGCTCAATTGGATTCAGGTCTGGGGAACGGGCGGGCCAGTCCATAGCATCAATGCTTTCATCTTGCAAGAACTGCTGACACACTTCAGCCACATGAGATCTAGCATTGTCGTGCATTAGGAGGAACCCAGGGCCAACCACACCAGCATATGGCCTCACAAGGGGTCTGAGGATCTCATCTCGGTACCTAATGGCAGTCAGGCTACCTCTGGCAAGCACATGAAGGGCTATGCGGCCCCCTAAAGAATGGCTACCCTACACCATTACTGACCCACTGCCAAACCGGTCGTGCTGGAGGGTGTTGCAGGCAGGAGAATGTTCTCCACGGCGTCTCCAGACCCTGTCATGTCTGTCACATGAGCTCAATGTGAACCTGCTTTCATCTGTGAAGAGCACAGGGCGCCTGTGGCGAATTTGCCAATCTTGGTGTTCTCTGGCAAATGCCAAACGTCCTGCACAGTGTTGGGCTGTAAGCACAAACCCCACCTGTGGACGTTGGGCCCTCATACCACCCTCATGGAGTCTGTTTCTGACCGTTTGAGCAGCCACATGCACATTTGTGGCCTGGTGGAGGTCATTTTGCAGGGCTCTGGCAGTGCTCCTCCTGTCCCTCCTTGCACAAAGGCAGAGGTAGCAGTCCTGATGCTGGGTTGTTGCCCTCCTACAGCCTCCTCCACATCTCCTGATGTACTGGCCTGTCTCCTGGTAGCGCCTCCATGCTCTGGACACTACGCTGACAGACACAGCAAACCTTCTTGCCACAGCTTGCATTGATCCTGGATGAGCTGCACTACCTGAGCCACTTGTGTGGGTTGTAGACTCCGTCTCATGCTACCACTAGAGTGAAAGCACTGCCAGCATTCAAAAGTGACCAAACCATCAGCCAGAAAGCATAGGAACTGAGAAGTGGTCTGTGGTCACCACCTGCAGAACCACTCCTTTATTGGGGATGTCTTGCTAACTGCCTCTGCTTTCTACCTGTTGTCTATTCCATTTGCACAACAGCATGTGAAATTGATTGTCAATCAGTGTTGCTACCTAAGTGGACAGTTTGATTTCACAGAAGTGTGATTGACTTGGAGTTACATTGTGTTGTTTAAGTGTTCCCTTTAATTTTTTTGAGCAGTGTATGTCAGGTAGCACTACAATGTCTTCTTTCTGAATCTTTGACTACTACTGTAATTCCCTAAAACTTCTTACCATACAGGGATTGTCATTAAATGTCAGCCCTTTGAGGTAGGCAAGAAAACACAGAAGGAATTCCCTGAATGCTCTTTATTATTGTAGGGGAGAAGAGCAGAATCTTAAAAGCCCATCACAGTTTCTTCCTGCTCCATCTTTTATCAAACAAAATCAAGGTAGAATTATTTTGACTTTCTTTTGCACCCCTTCCTCTTTTTCAGGAGTAAGAAATCTGTTCTCAAAATCTGATTTTTTTTATTTCTCATTTTCTGTGCCTTCAACATTAGTAAAAATTCCAAATAGAACCTAACTACGAATTCTGCAGGACTGCCTCATTCTCATTTGATTAGTTAGCAACTAATGGAGACATTTGTAAACTAAATATATCTCTACATTTCATTCTGCCTTACATTTCCCTAGTTTTGAAATCATCCTTCATGAAACTGTATTTAAAAATGTGTTAATTCATGTTTCCTCAGATTTGATCTTCTTCAGGAAATTATCCAAGAGTTGCGAGGAACAAATGACTCCTTCACGATGAATCACAGTAGGTAGAAAATTGGAATCTTATTTTGCTGGTGTAGACCTGAAGAAGACATGGATATAGTAATCAATATTCAGTCTTTATTTGTAGACAAATGGAAGAATTCCTTGTTTATTTACACAAATATTTGGAAAAGAGCATTTTGTGACATAAATTGCATCAGTTTTCTTTGATGTTCACTGTTTTTTAATAGATGCAATGTGACTGATTCTAACAATGATCTGTCTGCCTCTGTTTATTAAATATATGCTGCTCATGTCTGTCCTTCCCCATATTGTATTAGACACCAGCTATTTGCCTATATTTTTAAAGAACCAATTTACATTTATACCATTATATTAGGCTTTCTTACTTTTCTAACAATACAAATTGTTAAGGATTATAAATTACATCATAGAGGAAGGTTAAGAAGCTTGTCTGACCAGCCCTCATGCAAAGCTATTTTTGCTTACAAAACTGAATTCCTTAGATTCACTCTTAGAAAGAGCGAAAGAGTGAGGAAATATTTCCTGAGCATTTTTAGTCATTTTATGCATGCTTAAAGTATTGCCTGCTGGAGATTAAATGATTCCGTATATACAAGTAACAATTAGTGAAGCAAATTTTATAATTGTAACAAATAGAGGCTCTATTTATAAAGAATACATTACAGAGATAAATAAAGCCCTAGCCCTTACTTCACTACATCTTGCCATGCAGAGGTCAAATAACATCTCTGTAGGTGTATGTCTTGGAAGGAAGCAGAAGGAAGTGACTTTCCATTAGCAATTTGTGTGGCAAGGAGCAGGCAGAAAGATAATTTTTATATTTCTTTCTATGCCCTCCTGACTCATGTGGCATTAGATCATGTTGGATTTGGATCTCCAACAGGAAGAAAGCATCAATGGGAGAGATTTTTAACAAGGTTAGAACTTCTTAGGAAATGCATGGAACATATGTACCCATTTCATGTATTCACAACTATGTATACGCTTATACTTATTATCTTGTAAACAATTGGCAAATCAAATAAATAAATAAAATAAATAAATAAAATAAACATAAAAACATGAAAATGCAGCAGTCACTTCTCATTATGAAAGGATTGGGAAGTGGCTAGTATATTCTTCCTTGTAATTTGTACAAAAAGTTCACATTAAGCTAATTTGCATTTGTTTACATAGTTTGCATGACAAAATTTAGTTTCACAAAGAGGACAGAAACACTTCCGCCAAAGATCTTCCTCTTAACTATTGGCAATCCCTGCTCCAGTTTCAGAAATTGGATTGGTGTTGCCAACACGCTGTCTTCGTATCTATTCTGCTCTATAAGACAGCATTTCTCAATCTTGGCAGCTTGAGGACGGGTGACCTTCAACTCCCAGAATCCCTCTAACCAGCTTAGCTGACTGGGGAATTCTGGGAAACGATGTCCACTCATCTTCAAGTTGATAAGGTTCAGAAACCCTGCCACAAGAACTCAAATTTTACTTTAAGCAAATACCCCATTTGGACTTATTAATAAATAAGGTTTTTCAGCCACTGACTATATTGTCATCTTTGTGCAGAATCAGAAAATGCATAATCCTAATACAGCAATGTATGAGAAATTGTCCCTATCTGTGGAGATAAATTTAATTTCTTGGCAGAATCAATGTTTTGCGTATAGGAAATTCCAGATTTAACAACTAGGTATTTCCAATTAAAGGAACAACTAGCAAATAAAGGAGAAAGGCTTTCCCTGAGGACTAAAGTCATTAACATACTAGATTAAATTGAGATGCAATCTGGTTGGGTATAGAGCAATTGCAAGCTGTGTTCTTCTATTGTGCAGTAGCAACACAGCATCACATCTAACATATTTTCATCATTTCTACAGAGCAGCAAACACGGAGCAGAAAAGAAAAAGAGATTCCCTCTGATCTAAAGAAGGGAGATCTGATCCGGACAAGTGATGATGACTAGTTAGGATGATCAGTACATGGTGATGACCCCTCTAGTTCTCTATTAAAGATAGGACCAAGATAAAAGCAGTTTCTTTCTTCAATGGCACAGCTATCAGTATGCATCCTGAGAATTCAGTATCTCCAGTTCAGAGCCTCATATCCTAGAAAAGTTAAGTAGTACTGGACATGATTGCTCTTCAAGAGAAAAATCTAGTTTTTTTAAAAGACTGAACTAATGTCATTTAGAACATTTGGGTCAAGCTAGGAGAGCTATAGATCAAATAAAGCTTTTAGTGAATTGATAAGCATAGGTCTCAATCAAAGCATTTTGTAGCCATTTTTCACACATAAACTTGTTTAGCTCATGTTCTTTTATGCTTTGAATTCACATTCAAACCTGTCCAGTCATGCAGCCTTGTACAAATACCTCATTTTGTCATTCTCTAGTATCACATTTTAATAAAGTACAGAATTGTGCAGAGAAAGAGTATAACCCTTTTCTCTCCACCATGCTTCTGGTGAAAATCTCTTTTCTTAAACAAATCAGTTGTTTTTAGCTTCAGCATAAGAATTACTACAATCTCATCCTGAGCAAGGTGATTAAACTTCCCTTCTTGCTCTGATTTCAATTGTTTAGAGGGGAAAAAAGCAAAGGAAACGTAGGTTGAAAAATGAACTGTAAGTAGCTTTTCCTTTCAAACCATTAACATCAAATTTAGTTTGATCTCAGTCTACTACTGCTAATTAGTCTACTTATTTTTTGTATTGGGAGAATCTTAACAATATTAAGATATTTTGCTGCCTTTATCTCTCTTCTTATGAATTCAAAGTTGCTTTAAATTGGGTCTTTGCAGGTTAAGTTCTGATGAGGGTGAGGCAGTTTTACCTTTTATAACATATAGTAATAGTATCTTGTACCCCTCCATACTATTCTCTGAGTTACCAGTGTTACAAAATAGGTGAGCTTTAGTAGTATTTGAAAAAAGAATCAATCTGACTTTGTCACTTCTCTTGATTTCTTTATTAAAAAAGAGAAAAGTGTTTTGTGGTTCACTTGTTTTTTTATAAATCTTTCATATTTACCTGATGGTATTGCAGGTACTGCAACAAATTTTTCATTATTTTTAGTTATTTTTTTCTTATAAGCATGATTCACACATAATGATAAACCATAACATACTTTGGAAGGAGTGTGTGTGTGTCTCTGTGTCTGTAAATTCTAGGTCATTGTGGCTTATTTAATATCCTTGCTTGAAGAAACAAAGTGTAGTATGATATAGACAAAAAATTACTAGCTTATATTTTGTTTCCTGTTTTAAGAGCTCAAACACATTTGCTGCTTTCAAGTTGCATATGCAGAAACTCACAAGTTTGAACTGTTGGCATCTCCATTTCAAAAGGAGACTGGGCAGAAGAACGCATCCTCAAAGACCGCACTTAAATTAGAAAACATCATAACTCTAGGATTTGGCTAAAGCAGCAACAAAAATCGAATAGGACTGACTAATATTTCAAGCTTTAAATGATGTAAGACAGAAACCATCTCCTATCATAAATCAAAAATAATCTATTGGGATTTTGCTGAGCTTGGTTTTCTTTCTGCAACCATTTTATTACCATTCTAGATAAAATGGCCAGGGGTTTGATATGAATGAATCGAGTTTGCTGCTTTTTTTATGTGTGGCAGCTTGTCCTACCTGTTTTTATCAGGTATAACTTGTTCTAATTAGTGTGCTTGTTTCTGATTCTGAATAAACTGAAATAATGCAGCATGAGACTTCACAGAGACCACATGATGGCGCCATAAGTAAACAAAGAATAAAAAATTCAAAGATTCTGAGACTCTAGAAAGAGGGCAGAGAAGAGCAAGAAAGATGATTTGATGTCTGGAGGCTAAAACATACTGTATGATGATTGGTTGAAGGAACTGGGTATGTCTAGTCTAACGAAGAGAAGAACTAGAAGTGACAATAGTAGTCTTCCAATATTTGAGAGGCTGTCACAAAGAAGAGGGGGACTTGTTCAGTAAAGAACCTGAAGGCAGGACAAGAAGCAATGGATGGAAACTAACCTAGGAGAGATCCAATCTAGAATTAAGGATAAATTTTATGACAGAACAATTTTTTGGAATAGCTTGCCTCCAGAAGTTATTAAGGGTGCTCCATCTCTTCATGTTTCAAAAAAGAGAATAGACAGCCATTTGTCCAGAATGGTATAAGGTCTCCTACTTGGGCAGAGGGTTGGACTAGAAGACCTCCACAGTCCCTTCCAACTCTGTTATTCTCTATTCTTTATATTAATGGTTTAATTCTAATTTGCTTTTCAGTTAATGCAACTTCAATATTATAGCAGCTTCACAGAGCTTTAAATTATATCCTTTACTTCACTAACAATATATGAGGTTTATGTAGGCAGCTCTGCGATACAGGACAACATGGAAGTTTGCAATTATCCACAGAAATAATAGTCCTATCTTTTGTGCCAGTAGATGTGCCAACAAAATAGCCAATATAAGTTGAAGACTTGGGTGAGGAAGTGAGCAATAAAAAGAAGAAACATATTACAATCTAGAGCAGATTTTTCTTACCTACAGGAAAAGGAAGGAAATCATACTGGGAAAAACTTAACAATGATGATTCACTTGGCCACTGACTCCAACATGATCCAACTTTATACCTGTTTCTGATTTACTCATCATTAAAGATATTGCTGGGCAGACAGCAAATGGCTCAACTGTGTAGCTTCAGTGGGGCAGCTTCTGTATAGCTTCTCAGGGCACCATCAATATATAAACTACAGTATATTAGTTAATATATTACCTGATAGTTAATAGGGTGATATCTCCCTGATCCCACATCAATAAACCCTTAAACCATTCTTACATGTTATACTACTATAGACTTCAGAAAATGAAACTTGGTAAGAAAAAAGTCCCCCCAAAAGAAAGCACAAAATAGACTGATCTCACAATCTTTATGTTGTTTGTGTAAGGAACTTACTCAAATGCTACTATTTCTATGTCTTAAGCATTAACTTTGGGATCCAGAATCTCAGGCAATTTGAGGCAAATGCACCATTTTACATAAC